AAAAAAAAAAAAAAAAAAAAAAGGGAAATCAGAACCCTTGAAACAACCAAATCAGGAAATACGAGTTAAATATTTAACACTGGTCTTGGTTTTTACCTTCAACTTCGTCGCCATTCTCAGGGGTGTCCCAACCTTCACCTTCCTTGATGAGCTTCTTCTTCAAGCCTTGCTTTCCGATCTCTTTCTCCTCCCCAACCTTCAGGATGGTGCTCTCCTCAGGGAGAGCCAAGTCCTCGTTCATCATCTCGTCCATTGGTGGGATATCAAAATCTTCATCCATTGTTTCCGATCACGATTAAGGCGAACGATGATAAGGAGAGAAAGAATGCTTTACTGGTCAGAAATTAGGACGAATGTAGATAGAGAACAAGAGCGGGAGTCAAGAGGACGATCTTTATGAAGCGAAGTGATAGAGGAGTCAAGTTCTAGAGACTTCTAAAAGGGTTTAGAGGATCGGGATGAGGATGGTTCCAGAATTTCTAATTTCTTTTTCTGTTTACCCTTGTTTGAATAGAGGTACTTTATTAAGTTTTTATTATAGAAGAAGTAAAAATATATACTACATAAAAAATTGGTAGATTTTATAATTATTAAATTTATAGTATTTGATGCCAAATTAGTAAAAAAATGTTATCAAATAGATTCAATATAAGAATATTTATAGGAAAACTTATTACTAAGTTCATAATTGTGTAAAAAAATCAAAAGCTCAAAATACTATTTTTATTCTGTATTAATAAGTAAAATTTTTTTGCTACAACTGAGGGAAACTAACTAATTAGCTGCGCAAATAAGGTACGCCTAATAGGTCCCCTTCAAGGAAAGCATTAAGGCCAAGCGGTAGAAAATAAAAGATGGTGGTTCCTACTGGTAAACTACGCCCAATTCCTACAAGGAAATCAGCAGCAAAATTACCCTCCCGAGGTGTGTGTTGAATGACAAATGAAGTGAAGTCATTACTTAACCGGCGAATGCCAGCTACTAGCACAGTTGCTAAGCTGTCGTTGTCCTTGGTGTAAGGATAGGTCCGAGGTGCTCACCTCGGACGTACTGCTATAATTTATTAATAGCCGAAGTGAAGTTAAATCCAGCACTTCTAGTCAAACAGCTGCACATTAAATACAGTGGGCATGCCCATACCTGATTTATCACACAATACCCCGGTCCTGAATTTATCTCTTTAAGGGACACATCACACTCCGATCATCCTGCTAAGCAAGCCACGTGGATACCTCACGAAGGCCTATAAATACCCCCGAAGGGCCACCTTAGAAAGGTAATTGAAACCAACCTTAAGCTCTTTTTATCTCTGCCCTAAAGGTAGCCCCGATTATTGCTGACTTAAGCATCGGAGTGTCTACCCCGAGTTCCACCTCGGGGCTTTGCAGGTCATCCCGGAGTGCAAGTGCGGACTGAAGAAGGACTTCCGGTTTGGTGCAATTACACTTGGTGCCTTCAATAACTTGAACTGCGGCAAGGGAGTCTGTTTCTACAACTAGGTGACTAACCTTTAAGGCTTTACACAAGATCAAACCTTCTCGACATCCCTATAACTCAACTAGGAAAATGGAAGCCTGTACAATGTTCACAGAAAAGCCTTTTATAAAAGCACTTGTTGAATCCCGAAGAACTCCCCCAGCACTTGCCAACCCAGAAACTTGCTCTCTAGAGCCATCTGTATTTAGTTTGCAAAAAGATGAGTCAGGCGGTTGCCAACTTATCCACCTTAGAGCCCGATCCTTATTGAAGATGTTATAGGCCATAGCCTTAAGTGTCCAACGCATAATTATTAATGAGACTGCAAAGCACAGTTGCTGACAGTTCCCCCCCTTAAAAATCAAACGATTCCTGCACTTCCAAAGTTGCCAAATTGTGGAGAGAAAAAGTACATCATGGGACATATTTCCGAGCAAAACTCTAAAATAACCTCATGAAACTTATTCTAAATTTTTTATTAAACTCCTAAATTTTTACTAAAGCAAAGAAACATTTAAATTTTAAAGTTTGTAATATGGGTAATCTAACCCTTTTTATATGATAGAAGGTATTGACTTTATTTGCATGAACAAACATTAAGTTTACCATAAAAAATTATTAAATTACTCAAATTATCAAATTTAAGATCTTATTTATTTTAATAAAAGTCAAGGGACTTAATTAAAAATTTAAAATAAATTTAAAAATTTAATGTAAGATTTTGTCAAAAAAGTTCCTTTCAATCAAACACCCTCGTTAAAGTGAAACAGTTTACCCCTCGTAGGATCCTAACCTAAATACCTAGATGAAAATGTGATTGTAAGCTTATAACATGATTTATAATTGTATAATTGAATCTTTTTATTTAAAGGTCTATTTTTAATATTATATGCATTATTTATTTAATGTCAAGTAAAAATAATAAACTTACAATTTTATATAATATTATAATTATAACATTACTCGATACTTATATAGAGAGACTATGTTAGCTTTTTTTCTTCTTTTTTTTTTTAATGTTGGGCTGGATAATAGAACTCCCATTTCTTTACCTTACTAATCTGCATATAGAACCACTTATTTCAACTAAAATAAATAGTATTACCGACCGACTAGGTTAGAAAATAGGAAAAATTAAAAAATATTTATATAATTGTTTGGTTTTGCTTGCTTTCAAACTTCGAACCATATTTAATTAACTCATGATTATAAAGCTATAAATCATGCACCCAAGCTGAAATGGGCAAATTATGGAGGCAAAGATATGTGTTTCATTTAATAAGTTTTAAAATATGAGAACGCAAGTTAAGAATTTGTCCACGGGGTAAAATTTAAAAGTTGCAAAATATAATATATATAATATATGAGGTAGCCTCAATTTGTTTTTTTTTTTTTTTACTTAGACTCAGTTCATAATAGTATAATTAATTACCTCAACCATTACTTATAGTAGTCAAATAATTTTTTAAACAGTTTGTATTTTTCTACATTAATTATTAAATTTAATGTTCTATTTGTGTAAATTATTCATGTCAAATTTCAAATTAATTGAATGTGTTAACTATTTATTAATTGCACTTAATTTTAGACAATTTAATAAATAACAAAAAATACAGTTTTTCATTCATATAGTTTCAAATATCTAATCACCTTAAAGTTTGACATGCATAATTTATATAAACAAAGTGTTAAATCCAACAATACTTTTTTTATCCCAAAATAATTGTTTTTTTTTACCTTTTTTTTCCAAATTAAGGATTTAGGGACAATTTATGTTTTTATTTATATTTTCCTTTTAAAAAAAAGCTAAATGATAAAACGACTTTTTTTGATAGGATAGTTAATCAAAGTAAATGGATAATAATAAGGTTAAAATAGGAAAAAAATATTTATCTACATTAAAAAAAACAATAATTAATTTGAGACAAACCTAAAGTGTAAAAAGTAACAATTATTTTGGAACAAGAGTTGTTGATTTGATAAATATAAATTGTACAAACAATTATTGAGGGTGTTTAACAAAGCTTAAAAAGTACTTGCTTAAAAAGCAAATTCTTCTTTCACAAAAAAAATAGCTTTTAAAAAGTAGCACTTAAGCAAATTTTAAAAAAGCTACAAATCCACCACTAGCTTAACAACTTGTCATGTGAGGGTTCATGGGCCTCAAAAGCGTAAACTTAAATTATTAGTAGTGATTAGTCTCCATACTTATATACCAATCACACTCATAGTTCTACCTAGGTGTGAGATTCAAGGCATTACAATCTCCCTAAGTTAAAACACTTCATGTACTCATCAAGCCCAATTATAATCAAAACATGGTCCACTAGGTCATAAGTAAAGGATCCACCTTAAGTGATCTGAGGTCTACACTACCACTAGTCATGATAATCAACATGGACTCATATTTATGAGAGGTGACTACTTTAATACCACCTAAAACAACCCTAAATTAAAGCCCACCATTGGCCTAGCAATTCTTTGGGTCAAGGTCCACAAGCTCTCAAAAGTTTAGATTCAAGTTGTTTGTAATGGCTAGTCTCTACATTGATATACCAATGACACTATAGTTCATCATTTGGATGAGAGATTTGAGACATTACAATGTCATGGGGTTATTTTTTTGATTGCCATTAAGCTTGATACCTTAATCTAAGGAGAAAGCTATTAGGGTAAGATTTGTAGAAGGCAGTGAATGATGACTTCATCAACAAGGGCATAATGTAGAATGGTATCGATCTTGGCAAAACAAGTGTTGAAAATTTTGGTTGAAAACTTTGGTGTGGCCTTAGAAGAGGGCCACAACCCACTTGTTGATTGAGTTGTCGAATGATAGGACGACAATCAATGGAATGGATTGTTACAATCCTTTCTCTCACCATGAAGTTGGCATCATAGTTGAAAATGTCCAAAAGCTCAAGATCCTTTAGTGATTTTCATTTTATGCTTAGTAGCTCTACGTATGCCCTACAACAATTGCTAATGTAATCACTAGGTATAGATAGCTTTGTACATTTAATTATTTATATCTATCATGGGTATAATTTTCGTTTAGCAGAAGGTGCCATTCAGCCCCTCTACTTCCATTGTTGTGGCATATTAGCTCCTCTACTTAAAAGTAGAGCAAATCAGCCCCTCTACTTGACAAAACCAGCAAATCAACCCCTCTACTTGACAAAACCAGCAAATCAGCCCATCTACTAACAATGACCTCATCAAATGTCATCTTTCCGTCTAGATCCTTGTTACTCCGTTACCAAGGAGTGGCTTAGTGCTGATATGACATTGGGTGAGTGATATGGTCAATTTAAACTACAAAATTATTAAAGAGTTCTCATCTATTTCCTTTTCTTTCGTCTATCTTCTCTTTCTTCATATTGCACATTTACTTTTTTCTTTTTTAACTCGTGGCTTTGTTGGCACCAAATGATTTACTCATTAAATCTCCATTTCCAGTAACTCAAAATTTATCTAACTTTATTTGGCTAAAACTTACTTTTAACCCCTCGCCTTATATTATAACACTTTTAGCCCTTTATCTTAATAAGTTGTGGGTTTTAGCCACTCACCTTATACTATGACACTTTTAGCTCATCACTTACATGAATTCAAGAAAATAACCCTCATTTAAAGTCAGGTAATAATGTTCTATTAGTTTTATTAGCTGACTGTTAACTCTGTTAGCTGACTATTAGTGTTTCGTTAACATTTCGTTAATGGAACTAACAAATAAAATTGAATTTAAATTTCATATTTTTTATAACGGAATGTTGACAAATGCTAACAGTTAACTAACGAAGCTAATAGTCAACTAACGGAGCTAACAGTCAATTAATAAAACTAACATAACGTTTTAACCTGATGTTAAGTCAACTAACGGAGCTAACAGCCAACTAATAGAACTAACATAACGTTATAACCTGATGTTAAGTGAGGGTCATTTTCTTTAATTCGTATAGATGAGGGACTAAAAGTCTCATAGTATAAGGTGAGAAGCTAAAACCTATAAACTTATTAAGGTAAAAGGCTAAAAATATCATAGTATAAGATAAGGGGCCAAAACTTACAAATTTATTAAAGTAAAGGGCTAAAAGTAAGTTTTTGCCACTTTATTTTATATAAAAGTACATGTAATATTTATTTCTTTTATAAAATGTCTCAAAAATAGATTCATATGTTTTTTAATAAAAACACAAACTAAAAAAAAAAAGAAAAAAAATAAAATTATGGATTCATATGTGTCTTTTTACTGCAGAAGGTTTTTGATTTGTACATATGAATCCATAATTTTTTATTTTTTCCCTTTTTTTTAAAGTTTTTGTTTTTATTAAAAAATAAATAAATTTATTTTTGAGATTTTTTTAAAAAAATAAATATTACATCTATTTTTATTTAAAATAAAGTTAGGCAGATTTTTGTTTATTAGAAATGGAGATTGAAAAAGTAGATCACTTGGTGTCCGCAAAACCACAAGTTTTGATATATTTTGATATTTTTTAGATTTAGACTTATGTGAAAGAAAAATTCAGCTTGAACTTTTGGGGGAAAAAAGTAGATTTGTAGTAGGAAGAGAGCATTTGTAAAGGAAGATGGAGATAATGGATGGAAGAAAAGGAAGGAGACAAGGACTCTTTAGTAAATTTATAGTTTAAATTGGCCACATTACCCACCCAATGCCATATCAGCACCAAGCCATTCTTTGGTAATAGAAGTACAAGGATGTAGACAAAAAGATGACATATGATGATGCCATCCTTGGTAGAAAGGCTGATTCATGGGTTTTTTAAGTAGAGGAGCTGACTTGCGCTACTTTTAAGTAAAGGAGCTGATATACCACAACAATGGAAGTAAAGGGGTTGAATTGCACCTTCTACCTTTTTGTTTTATATCTAATATTGTAGGTTATACTTCTAAGTAGGCTATAGTTGCCCTGATATAAAGACTTCAATGTAGGCAAATGATTTGTACACTCTTAGTTCAACACATTTTTTGAGACACTTTCGGTTTATCCATTAAAAATATAATAGAAATACGATCAATTCAACCAGTTCGTACATCATTTGTGTATGATTATATCTTTAAACTTATTTGCCTTTAATTTTAGAGTAAAAAAATAGTGATTTTTTAATGTGTTATGCAATGTGTTGAATCAAATGGTATACCAATCAGAGAGTATACCAATCATTGTCCTTTAATGTAATCTTGTTTCTTTATATTAATAGTTTCTCTATTCCCATAAAAAAATGTTATACCAATTATTTTTTATCAATATAAATAAAGTTTGAAAGAAATACATTTTCCATCTTGTTTTGAAACTTTTTTTTTTTCCCCAAAGTCGTCAAAATAATGTATAATCTTCTTAAGAATTGGAAGAGGAAGATACAATAAGTTGTAAAATTATAGCTAAGATCATAACTTTATACATCATAAGATTTTTGTATGTTTATGATTGATATGTATAAATATAAGAATTATATAAAGAATTTGATAAAGAATTTGAAATAAATGTTTTTTCTATTAGAAATGTGCAACGAGATTTATTAATAGAAATATAAACGCATTAGTTATATATCATATGAAGTCATCTTATGGTACTAATTACAGAAGAAATATGTTTATGACTAATAGCGATAATTAGGTAAAGAGGATCATTCATAACTAAGGATTGGGTTTCCAATCACTATAGGGGCATATATAGAGCTATTAAAGTAAAAGGATCACCTCTCTAAGCATCTTAAGCTATTAAGAAACCCCAGCTTCTAAGCATGCTTTAAGGAAGAGCAAATCCTCAAGCCAACTATTGTTCCCTACCTAAATAAGACCTAATTATGTATAGTTTAGTTTGAAGAAAGGTTACTGTTTTTCCTTATGAATATGAGTCCTGTGCATATTATGTCCACTAAAACTTTTGATGCACATTCATCTTCAAGCTTGCTTAACCTTCCTTTATGCTCCCCTTTTGTTTCCTTATTCCTATTTGAAGAGTTTTAAAGGTCTCTTCCTATTCTTTTCCACTTATCTTTACTCAAGCTCCCTTTCTTTCCTCTAGCTGCAGCTTTCACATCACTGTTCTATGTATGTTATAAAGGAATACACACTAGATGAATATCTAAGTCAAAATTCTCTCGATAATGTTCCCATTCTCTATCTTCAGAGTTAAGTTCTTATCTTGTTGTCTTTCACCAATTCATCCATAACTTGCATACCTTTTGCCATTCTCGATTCTTCTTGCAATATTAACTTGTCGCCCACAAGACTCTTATTAGCTTGTATTTGAGAATGAGAGTTTTGTGGGGAAGAGACACACAATTCCTTAATCTCAAAAAGACACCATATACCCTCCAATCATCCCTTAACCAAACTGTAAACAGCTTATCCACCTTGCCTCTCTTTTTCCTTCATTCGAAAGGTTACCTCGCAATTAGATTCAATGTGATCTATTCCTCAAACTATTAATTTTAGTTTCAAACATTCAAGTAGTAGCAAACCTTTGTAAAGACTTATCTACTTGATAACTTATTCAAACATGCAGGGACTTGTTATTATCTTCATCCATTTCTACAACCTTCCATAGTCCATGCTTACCTCGAACCCAACTTTCTTAGTTCTTAACCCCATGGGTAAATTATGAAAGTGCACCTAAAATGGAATTTAAAGAAGATTTTGTTGTGTATCATAACTTGTCATTTTTTTAGCGACTGTGCAATATAAGTGATTGATTTTTGGCTAGTTGAGCAACTCATAAACCCTACTACCAATGATATGTAGATTGAGAATTATACTGATACATAAAGTTTCAAAAACTTGGCTTTTCAATATCTAAGAGATTATATTCAAGGAGTTCGTCGTGGGATAATGACCAATAGAAGAAAAACAAAGGGGAAACATTTAGATTTAAAAATTGCTTTGTATATTGGAATATTGTTTATTATTAATAAAAGTTCATCTTTTAAACAAAAAAGTATTATTTTTGTATAAATTTAGTTTTTGAAACAAATCATCATCTAAATATATATGATTAATATAAATTTAATATATAATCATTGTACAATGTAAAGAATCTATTTCATTTCCTATATAATCATGTAATATACTAAAATATTCTAATATGATCTATAAAATGACTCATAAATTATTCATATATATTTTCAATGATTTTAGTTTGCTAATACTTTATAGCCATTTACAACCTATAAATACAAGAATACATATGCTTTTCAAGAGAATAAGCATCATTTTATTAAATCTCAATAATCAACTAATAAACTATCAAAATTAAATTGAAATCTTGGGTTGCTTAATTTGAAGGAGTCAAAATTTAATTGAAATTTTGGAAATTTGGAAGTCAATAGAATTAACATGTTGAAGCATTTTGATAAAAATAGTATATATACATAAAAAAAAATATATTTGGAACTAACACCTGGATAAGAAGTGGTATTATTAAATTAAATATATATTAGATGATATTGAGTCATAAATTTCTGATTTGTAATAAATACCTAATTATAAATATCAACACCTAATGATGCTTTAACATTTTCATTCTAGACAATTTTCTAAATTTAAAACAAAAAAGAATACATTAATTGTATTAAATTTATCAACATTATGCACTAGTAGGATCCTACTCATTAGATTTGTAACATAATGCACTTGCAACATGTAATATCCCAAAATTTTGGGGATATTTTAGCATTAAATAAGGGACTTATATGAGGGAAAATATTGTTTTGGGGCTTAATCGCAAAATTTTAAAAAGTTGAGGGGTTAAAAAGAAAGGAAATTAGGA